TGGCCTACATGGAGCGGCTCGGCTTTGGGGGCGCCCCACCCGCCTTTCCCGATTTAAACGCTTTGGAAAAGGCCATTGGGGGGGGGGGGGTTGGCCCAATGGAACTATTCCCCCTCGCCCCCAAGGGGGGGGGCATGTACCTTTGCAGGCAGTTTTCTTTTTGGGCCGCCTCTTTTGACACCAAAATGGTGGCCCCCCCCCCCCGGCAGGAGAAAATTTTCGCCGGGGGGGGGGCCTTTTGGTGGGAGGTGTTTTGGGGGTTAAATTACCCCGTGCCGGGGGGGTTTGGCCCCCCCCCCCCCCCCCCCGCCCCTCTCCCCCCGACCTCCCTCGCACGCCACCCCGCCCAACCCCCCCGGCTCACACCCCTCGGCCGCACACGACCCGCCCCCCTCACAGGTGCTCAACCTGAAGGAGGTCAAGGGGCCGCCGAACCCGACGACGGGCAAGCCGAAGCCGCACCCGTCCTCGCGCGTGATCGGGCACTACTGGGGCTGCCACCAGCGCTTCTTCCGCTCGCTCTGCATGGCGATGAAGGTGCCCGAGCTGGTCAAGATGGCCAAGGGGGCGCTCGCAGACAACAAGTGCGTGGTGGTGGGGCTGCAGACCACGGGCGAGGCGCGGCTCAACGACGCGGTCAAGTCGGGCGAGGACCTGGAGGAGTTCGCCGGGATGAAGGAGTGCGTCCGCTTCCTGCTCAAGAAGTTCCCCACCGGCGACTACACCAACCAGCACCCAGAGTCGGACCTCGACGACGGCGACGAGTCGGACGACGACGACCTGACGCGAGAGGTGGCGGGCGCGACATCGCGGGTCAACGCGGGCAAGGTCGCCCGGGCGGCGGTCAAGCGGAGCGGCCGGCTCGCGAATGGCGGACGCGGCAGCGACGAGGAGGGCTCGGACGACGAGGACGACGACCTCGACGGCTTCATCGTGCGGGACGGGCAGGAGGAGGAGAGCGAGGACGAGGACTACGAGGCGACGGACGATGAGGAGGGTGACGGCGAGCAGGTGCGGCTGCCCGCCGCCTGCAAGAAGATGCCGGCGGGCCAGCTGCGCCAGCTGCTGCGCGCGGCCAAGATGAACGACCAGCAGTGCACCGGCCGCGCCAAGCTGGTGGAGCAGCTCAAGCAGGTGGAGCGGCAGGCGCGCAGCAGCGGCGGGCAGCGCGTCGCCGACCTCCTCGCGAAGGCGGGCCTCGGCGGCAGCAAGCGGCCCTCGCCCGACTCGGCTCAGGCGTCGGGCCGGCCCAAGCGGCGGCTGCAGCGCGGCGCGGAGAAGAAGAGCTACATCGAGCTCTCTTCCGAGGAGGAGGAGGAGGAGGAGGAGGACGTCGAGATGGGCGAGGCGGAGACCGGCGACTACTTCGTCGGCAAGGAGCTCTCGATCGAGCAGGAGGGGGGCGGCCGCCGCGTGGCCACCGTCGTGGCGCACTACCCGAGCACCGGCCACCACCGCGTGCGCTACGCTGACGGCGGCGGCGGCGCCGAGGACAGGGTGCTGCTCAAGGAGGTCAAGTGGGACTACCACCGCAAGCAGGCGGCGCCGGGGGCGAGCGGCGCGCGGCGGGCGGTGCAGGACTCGGACTCGGAGGCGCTCCCCGAGGCGGCGCGTGCTCGGGTGTTTGCGCATGACGCGTCCTCGACGCGCCCGTCACGTGTGCGCCGTAGGACCTGCTCGAGGCGGCGTGCTCGGGCGCGTCGGAGAACGCGCCGCCGCAGAGGTCGAGCAAAGGCAAGGCGCGCAAGAGCGCTGGCAAGGCGCGGCGCGTGGCCGCCGACGATTCGGACGCCTCCTGGAGCGGCGGCTCCGGCGACGAGGACGAGGAGGAGGTGGCGCGCCCGACCAACCGCGCGAGCCGCTCCAAGTCGCCGCTGCCTGCGCCGACCAAGTCGGCGGCGAAGCCCAAGCCCAAGCGGCGCAAGAGCTACGGGTCGGACGACGACTTGCTGTCCGAGTCGGAGGAGGAGGAGGAGGACCTCAGCTGGGCGCAGCACAGCAACCCTGCCGAGATCAAGATGCTGCAGCGGCTCAAGAAGCAGCTCGTGCGCAAGCTGAACGCGCTCAAGATGCCCGACAACCCGCTCGACAAGCTCATCGAGGAGCTCGGCGGCGCCGAGTCGGTCGCCGAGCTCACGGGTCGCAAGGGGCGGCTCGTGCGCGACGAGGAGGGGCGCACCGTCTACCAGAAGCGGAACGCGAACGAGGTGGACTCCGACACGGGGCGGATGGTGGCGATGGAGCGCATCAACCTCGCGGAGAAGAAGGCCTTCATGGACGGCCGCAAGCTCGTCGCCATCATCTCTGAGGCGGCCTCGTCGGGCATCTCGCTGCAGGCGGACCGGCGCGTGCCGAACACGCGCAAGCGGCTGCACATCACGCTCGAGCTGCCGTGGTCCGCCGACCAGGCGAGTGCCTCACCGCTACCGCTCCCCCCCCTGCGCCTCTGCTCTCGTGATCTCTCTCCTCCCCTGCTGCCTCTCCCCTCCCGACTCTCCTCCCCTGCTGCCTCTCCCCTCCCGACCGCCCCCGCCGCCTCTCACTGTCCGCCCGCCTCACCGCCCTTGCAGTGCATCCAGCAGTGCGGCCGCACGCATCGCTCCAACCAGATCCACGGGCCGGAGTACCAGCTGTTCATGACGGCCTGCGGCGGCGAGCGCCGCTTTGCGTCGACGGTGGCCAAGCGGCTGCAGCAGCTCGGCGCCATCACCAAGGGGGATCGGCGCGCTGCCGACGCGTCGGACCTCTCGATGTTCGACGTCGACACCAAGTGGGGCAAGAAGGCGTACGACGAGCTCATCGAGCTGCTCAGCAACCCGCTCTTCTCGTCGACCCGGCCGCCGCCGCCGTACGTGCGCCGTGCGCTCGGGCTCAAGGCGAACGACGAGCTGCACGCGCGGTGGAAGGAGTACCTGGACGACGCCGAGGAGGCGGTCGCCTCGGTCGGCATCAACACCGACGACAAGGGGAGCGTCAAGGGCTTCCTCAACCGGCTGCTCGGCATGTGCGTCAAGATGCAGAACAAGGTTTTCGACCACTTCATGGCCATCCTGGAGGAGAAGGTGCGCGTCGCCAAGCAGAACGGCGAGTTCGACGACGGCGTCGTCGACATCCGCGGCGAGTCGGTCAAGGTGGGGCCGCCGCCTCGTGGCGCTGCTCCGGGAGATGCGTCTCGGACCCTTCTCGGAACCGTCCCTTAGGTCGCAGCCAACTTCCCTCGCGAGATGAAGAAGGACCCGATCTCGGGCGTGCCGCTGCTGCACTTCAAGCTGGACGTCGACCGCGGCCTCTCCTTCAAGCGCGCGATGGAGATGCTGGACGAAAAGGCAAAGTCGAACGAGACGGGCAAGCTCTACCCGAGAGAGGGATTCTACGTCTCGAAGCGGCCGCTTATTGGCCGCGAGAAGGAGGGGCCCAACGGCGTCAAGGCGCTCGCCTTCCTGATCCAGCGGCCCATGAGCGCGTTTGCCGTGCCGAGCACGTACATCCACACGTACGGCATCCACCGCCCAAACACGGGGCTTGGGGCGACGGACAGCTTTGAGAGCTTCACCGAAGGCATCACACCGCGCTTCTCCAAGCTGACGCCCGAGGCCGCCAAGGACAAGTGGGAGGCGCTCTACCGCGACGGGCTCCGGATGTGCAGCCACGGCCCGAACTGCAAGCACGGCTCGAGGTGCACGGTCGGCAAGCGGGTGCAGCAGCAGCACCTGATCTGCGGCGCGGTGATCCCATTCTGGGCGGTCATCAAGGAGCACCTCGAGTATCAGAAAAAGGGCGGGCGCGACGGCAGCCTCCAGATGGTCAAGGTGATGCGTATCGTCCGCGTGCGCTGCGTGGGCGCGGACGGCCGCGAGCAGCGGCTTGTCGGCGTCGAGATCTCCGACAAGGGCGTGGCCAAGCTCGATGCCGCGCTCAACAATCAGCCGGCGCCGCAGGTGCCGCCCCCGACTCGCCCCGGCGCCGTCGCCACCGCCCAATCACGGGATCCCCGCCCCGCACCGCAGGACGTCAAGCCCGACGTCAAGCCCGACCTGCACCAGCTGGGCCGGGGCGGCGCCTCCTCCTCCTCGTCGCACGGTGGCGGCGCCTCCTCCTCCGACGTCAAGCCGGACGTGCGCGGCTTGCGCGTCGGCGCTCACGTGATGGTGCACGGCCTCGCGACGGACGCGGGGAAGAAGCTCAACGGCAAGCGCGGCAAGATCGAGCGGTGGGACGCGGCAATGCAGCCGTCCGGCCGCTGGATCGTCAGGATCGACGGCCAGCAAGGCACGAACGCGCTGCAGGCCAAGAACCTGGGGGCGCTCTGACGGGCGGCGCGAGAGCTCCGCCGGCGCGCGCCGCCGCTCTCTGACGCGCCTTTTGCAAAGGGCCGCGTATGCTACGTGGAGGCCTCTCTTGCTCTGCGGGGAGCATGTTTTTGTTCCCCCGCTGTCGGGGGAGGCGGGGCGGCGGTCTGCCTGTCTCTCCCGTCTCCGACTCTGACACTCTGTACCCCGCGGCGAGCCATCGATTGTTCTTTTCGTGTTCTCTTCTACAGTCGTGCGCGTGGAATGAGATCAAGTCCTCCGCTCACCCAAGCAAACCTCCACTGGTTGGGTAGTAGAGGCTAAGAGTTCTGAGCCTCGAGGCTTAACGGGTCTAAGTGTGACCGGTCACGCTCGGGTGCGTACGCGGTCTAAGATCGGCGGGAGCCTCTTATACGGTGCCTCAAAATTTTCTTCGCCTGCGGCGGGCGTGCGCCGTCGCAACTTGCGCACGGAGAGGCGGAGAGGAGAGGTCGTGCGCGGCTCGATGCGCGGCAACTGGCGACGGCGCTTGTAGCTTTTGACCCATGGGGTCGTGCAAAATATCGACTAGGTCCAGCCCTGGGTGGCGCAGGTTGTGACATTTGGCGATTCCGCGACTTACTGGGCCCCTGAGCCGCTACCCGTGTGCGATTTTTTGTGGCCCGGGCATGATACTGATAGTAAACGGGTCAGAACCGGCCAAACACAGGCTACAGCCCCACACACGCGCCCGCCATAGCTCCTGGAGAGCATGCGCGAGTGACGCGCTACAAGCCGCGAGAGTGGCATTAGAGGCAGGAACGACGTGCTCTTGCTGCACCTCGCAGCTGCACCGAGTGTGCTCGCAGTGTATGCCACGGCCACCGCCTGCGGCATTGCTCTCGTGCAGCTAGGCGACGCAGGTCCATCAGCAGGGCTCATCCAATGCGAGCGCACATTGTGCGTAGCCGCAGGCAGGTGGCAGTGGACGCACCCACCGGCTGTGGCGGCTCGTATGCCCCCGGCAGTGCTGCTAGTCATTAACTTGCGTATTAGGGCCGCAGCAGACTGCTGCTGTGGCAGCAGCAGCAGCAGCCTGCTGCCTGATTCAGTCAAGCCAGCGGCGCAGCGAGGCGTGCAGAATTTGCGTGGTTTTGTTCCTCCTGAGGCTGAGCGCATTCGAGCCCTTCGACCGGAGTTGGATGGTACCACGCGTCTCACTGAGACGCGGGGTACTGGCCATGGCCGGACTACGGAGCGTGAGGTGGCGAGCGGAGCGAGCGACAAAACAACGAGAAAAACACGGATCTGACGATTGTCACAGAACGTCAGATCTTGCGCCACCCAGGGCTGGACCTAGTCTATCCAGGGTTTACACTTTTTATTTAGCAGACCGCGGGCCACCTCGTGTCGTCTAAGTTCGTGAGTCCGATCACCAGCGTCTAAGTTTGAGAGCCCGCTCCTTCCGGGGGCTTAGTTCAGCGCTCGGCTGCGAGCAGGTCTAAGTTTTGGGCAACCCTCTACCCCTACTACCCAACCATTAAACCTCCCCAGCCTCCCATCGCGAGCGACGCTCGATTCGGATGGGGTGGAGGCGGCGGCGAGGCCGGTGTGGTGACCACGTCGGGCGCAACTTCGAGCGAGAGCACGTTAGCGACACCGGCGCGTTTCAGCGCGTCGCGCACGCTGGCCGCGCTGGCCGCCTCGACATGCACGACAACGTACTGCTAAGTGTACGTGCATGCAGCATGCATGGTGTGCGCGCCGGGTGAGCATGCATGCAGCGACTCGCTCGCCCGGGATCCGTCGAGGTGGGGCGTCGTGGACCGCTCTCAAGCTGCACCAGTGGCAGCTCTGGCTCTCCCTTGAGCGAGGAGCAGACGGGCAGCAGCACCTCCTCTCCGAAAAAGAAAGAAAGAAAGAAAACGGACAACCCAAGGGAGGGATGGGAGGACGGCACGCCGCCACCACACAGGAATTTTAAGGAGAGGGGTGTGGTGCGCTAGCCGTCGCCCACCCTTGGGCGTCCGCCTCTTCCTATCTCTCTTCGCAGTCTCTCGCCGATTCTCGCTGCAACCTTCATGCCACCTCGCGGTCGTCCCACTCTCGTCGTTCTTTCCCTTGTTTGTCGCTTCTTCTTCTGTCGCGTCGCTCTGCCTCGTTCTGCGACGCCGCCGCCGCCTGCCGGTCCCTTGTTCTCGCTGCTTCTTGCGCCTTTCGGCGCAGCTCCGCCCTCCTCGCTGCATATCCTGGCCCCTCGAGTCTATCGATCGAGCTCTCCTCGAGCAAGGACGAACGAGTCTTCTGACGCCCACTGCTATCATTTGCCACCCAGTCATATCATCATTGCTCAGGTCCACTCTCTCTTCGAACACTTGTGCCTTCACTGATGATGCCGGCGCTGGGGTCCCCTTCGGGTGCATCGTCTCCGCCACGCCCGCCAGCTTTTTTTGGTCGTCCGAGTTGAGATCGACTGCAGCAGATCGATACAGCCAACAGCAGTCTAGCCCTGAGCATTCTAGCCCTGAGGAGGAGGAGGACTGATGAACCTGCTCCTCTCTCTACTCCTCGCCGCGTGGGTGCCGGCGTGGGGGCGAGTATCGCCATCGCGGCGACGAAGCGGTCGGTACTACGCCGGTGTCTCTCTGTCTGGCGCGGTGGCCAGCTCTACGACTCACGTGCTGGTCCTACCGCTTGACGTGGTGAAGACTCGCATGCAGACGGGCAGCCGCCTCGGCTTGATGACAGCCGCTGGCGCTGTCCTCGCAGACGCGCCCGGCCGAGGGCTATTCCGCCTCTCGGTTTTTCTCAAGGGCCTGCCTCCGACGGCAGTCGGGTACTTTCTCCAGGCCATAACAGATGAGAGAGTATGAGAGCGCACGGGATTGCTCGAGCCTCCCTCGATTACCCTTCGACGTGCCTTAGGGTGGTGCCAAGTTCGGCGGCTACGAGGCGCTGAAGCAGGAGTCGTTTGCGCGGCTGCGGGCGGCTGGAGGGGAGGAGCTGACGCGCCGATGCCAGCTTCCAGCCATGCTCGCGTCGGCCGCGGCCGCAGAGATGGCTGCGACCGTCCTCTTGGCACCGCTGGAGGCTTCGCTCCGCCCGCCCGGCCGTAAATTCGCCCCTGACGCACATCTCACACCTTCACCGTAGTGGTGTGAGCAGGTGCTCAAGCTCCGCATGCAGACGGACGCGGCAGCGGCAGCGCGCGGCGCGGCGCGCACCCTGCTGCACATCTCGCGGCACGAGGGCCTCGGCGCGCTCTACAAGGGGCTCGCGCCGATCGCGATGCGCCAAGTACCCTACACCATGAGCAAGCTGGTCGTCTACGACCAAGTCGCCCGCCTCGCCAAGAGCGCTTGCGTGGGCGAGCGGGAGCACCTGCGACCTTGCGCGATCGTCCTCACCGGGCTGGTCGCAGGCGCCGCAGCAGCGATCGTCTCGCACCCCGCCGACTTGCTGCTCACCCGCTTGTGCGGCTCTGCCACGGCCAGCACGGCCACCAGCGTCGCAGAGTGCGTCATTGCGGACGGCGTGCTCGAGCAGGTGCATATCTCGCGAACGTCGCGGCCATTCCTCACACACGAGCGTGTCTAGACGCGTCCATGATTTGCCCACAGGCCAGGTACTTAATGAGCCTTGGCTTGCGCGGAGCATACGCCGGGCTGGCGCCGCGGCTCGCAATGGCTTCGGTGGTGAAGAGCTCGATCCGCTTGTTTCCCTCACAGCTCTCGGTGCGCTGGATAGGCTCGCCATGACGTCGGTGATGACGTCCATCCAATTTTCGCTATACGAGTGGCTGCAGATGTCATTGGGTGTGCGCCCGCAGGCTGAGGGCAGAAATGTCTGATGTTGTGTGTTATCCAGTCGGTTCCTCTCTCCTCGCGTTGTCGGATAACCTACATATATCTCCGATGAGCGAGGCCCGATTTTGCTATTAAGATTTTCCGCTCGCGCAAAAAAAAGTTCACACCACAAAGAACCCTGCACAAAGATCGCAAGGGCGGGGACCTGTTCCTTTTTACCCATCTCACAGTAGAGAGGTGTCGACGTGTTTTACGTCCACCTGATCCGTTTTATTTATTTATTTATTAAAAAAAAGTTTCTGGGGGCGGTTTGACTCGAAAACAATTCGAAAATAAAAAAGACATGAGACGCAAGTGGAGAGGGGGGTTGGGGGACCGAATGAGAGGCGAAAAGGACAGAGTGGGGCTGGAAGAGGGGCTGTGTGAGGTGCGAGGGGGTTAGCGGTTAGCGCTACTCTGTCGCAGCTCGGACGGCAAGTGCTTCTGCACCAGGTGCCCCCCGGCCCCGGCCCCGCCCAGGCACGTCTGTGTGGTGTGCGACAGACACACAGCGTGTCTCGCTGATCACCGCATAGCCTGTGGCGAGGCGGTGGTCGCTCGGACACACGAGATCCGACAAAAGTCACCGCCGGTTTTGGAGCCTCGCGAGCTCTTGCGTGACGAGGCGCCGCTCGCTGCTTCCAAGGGGCTTCAGGAGGCCGGTCAGAGCGGCGTCGAGAATAGCGAGGGCCGCCTGCGGGAGCGGGCACGTAGTGGCAGTCCGCGTGAGAGCGAAGGCGGGCGATGAGTGGAGGAGGAAGGCTCCGCGCACCGAGCAGCGGCCACCACCCTGGCAGTGCTCGTGGACCGCCATGAGCGTCATGTCGTGCAAGGCTCTGGCGTTGTCCAGCGCCTGCTGTGCTGTCTGGAGCGTGGGCTTGATCGACGTGTTCCGCGTCCACACCGCCGTCTGACTAGCACGTCGTGGCTCATCTCCGGTGCAGAAGGAGGAGCTGTGTAGGCACACCGGCGAGCGCGGAGAGCCTCGGTACGATCGAATGGCGCGATCTGCCCGGGCAAGGGGTGAGGGAAGTGAGGCCGGCGCACGGGGAGGGCGGCTGGGAGGGCGGCTACGGCTCTAGGGGCGCTGCATCATCTGACGATCTGCAGTAACGCACGTGTCACCGAAGGCAGTCGTGGGGGCAAGGACAGGGCATCGAGCCACACGAAGCGCTCCACTTGGGGGTGCGCTGCCCTGCATGCCGACAGCACGTACACCCGAGCCCACGAGGGCGAGATCCAGGAGAGGCCTGCCAAATCCTCTTCGTCCATGCACTCTCGAGGTGTGAGATGCGCAAGGCCATGCGCCTGGGCAAAGTCGCTAACCGCAAGGCGGTCGTCAAAGGGGCGCGCATCGCGTCCAGTGGCGACAACGGCACGGGCGTCGACAGAGAGCGAGACGAGCGCCATCGAACTGTTCGTGAGGGACAGCATCGAAGGCAT